TCATAACAATTTAAAATACTTAAATAAAACACTTTATTCGTCAATAACGTTAAGCTTTTTACACTTTTAACTTATTTTATTATTTTCTTATATTTCTATATCAAAATGAATGAAAATAAAAAGAAAAGGTCATTTCAAAATGCGTTCATCAGAATATTGTTGTTTTTTTTTGTCTAGGTGAGGTCGGTATTTCAGCGTAAATGTGTTAAAAATGACCTGCTTGCCTATATAAACACTTATCAAAAAGAATACAAATTTCCCGCTTTTTAATCATTTTTACCCCTAAGTCTGTTCATAAGAATTTTTCTATTTATAACTAACATTAACTGCGGTATTGATGTTGTTGCTTCGGAGTTCAACTTCCGTTCTAATTATCGTTTTTGAAAGTTTTAGACAGGCCAAAAATATATGTGTTTAATATCTTTCTTAAAAAAGAAAATGTTTGCAAAAAAATTCACAGGTATAAACTAAACAAAAATATGTTTCCTGTAAATAGGTCATTTGCGATATATATTTGGGGTAAATTATAAAAAATCGACAAAATATCAAAATTCGCCGTAATGGGTAGTTTAGAACTACACATATAATCTCGATCTTTGAAAATTCGTGAAAAATAGAAGATATGAATTAATCTTGGATTTTCTTTTTTAGTTTGACAAAATTATGCACAGACAATCAATTTCTGTAATAAAAATTAGATTTGACTCGTTAAATTACCTGTAATTAATCAATTAACATTAGGTAGCGTGCGCCTTAATGCTGTGATTCTCCCTAATGGGTAAAAATGCACTATTTTCCTGCGCCTAACTGTTGTGGACGTATAAATATATATATATATATATATATATATATATATATATATATATATATATATATATATATATATATACACACACACATTTATATAAATAGCAAAGTTACAGTCAGTTACTGCCAAAACAATGAAAATTTCAATAATTTGACCTTCAAAGACAATGTCATTAATGAGTGAAGGTCAAGGTCTTTCGGTATATTTTTAACAGTTATCTTTGAAGATTATTATGTTCAAGTTTGAAGACAATCCATTCAAAAATAACAAAGTTACAGCCAATAATAGCCAAAAAAATTAAAATTTCAATAATTTGACCTTCAAAGTCAAGGTCATTGATGAGTGAAGGTCAAGGTCTGACTGGTTATTTTTAAGGGATATCCTTAAAGATTATCATGTTCAAGTTTGAAGACAATCCATTCAAAAATAACAAAGTTACAGCCAATAACAGCATGAACAAGCAAAAATTGGACTTTTAACCTTGAAGGTCAAGGTCATTTATGGATGAAGGTCAAGGTTAGTGTGGTCTACTGAAAGGTCTTGTCCCAAGGGTTGTTGTGGCCAAGTATGAAGACAATACACCAAGAAATAAAAAAATTATGATCCAGGTACAAGTTTTCGGACGGCAACGGCAACGGCAACGGCAATGGCAACGGCAACGGCAACGGCAACGGCAACGCCGACCTGACTATAACAATACCTCTACTTTTTTTTTCAAAAAAAAAAAAGTCGAGCTAAAAAAAATGAGAGTTCGTCGCGCACAATTCGTTTGTAAAATTTAATATTTTGTTTCAAACATGTGAACATTACATTTAATTGTATAGAAATTTGAGAAAACGAAAATAGATATTTGTAATCTAACTTTTCAAGAAATGTGATTTTGAAATACTTTTACGAACTTCATTATGCAATCATTTTTGATAATCTTGTATATCAATTAGAATAAAGTAAAAGTAAGTTTCTTCTGTGATAACATTTTAATTTGATTACACTTTTTAATTTTCAATGAAAAATATTCTGCATTTCCATTCGTTGGTATATTTGTGTCGTTTCACTCAAACGACATTTGCTTTCATTTGTTGCTACCATAAATGATTCTTACATGATTTGCAACTAGTGCAGGTAAATAGTTTTTTTTTACTTTTTTACATTTCTTTTGTTACTAAAGGATTTAGTATTGTTTAAAATACATAAGTGTTTAATCTGTTACGTTGATATGTTACGCTAAGAAATACTTATATTTAAAATTTCTTTTTATTTAAAAGATAACAAAATTGAAACATGAAATAAAAAAAGGATATTTGTTTAGTTCAGTGTAAGATCGGAATATATTTCACCGAGTGAGCACCAAAAGGTATATTTCACGAGTGGCGCAGCCACGAGTGAAATATGAACTTTTGGTGTTCACAAGGTGAAATATATTTCAATCTTACACTAAACTAAACAAATTTTCTTTTTTATTATATGCAAAGAAACGTTTTAAAAAGACATTTAACCTAAAACTGAATGAAAAGCGCGCCAAATAATAATACAACGTGACGTCATTTACGACGTCACGTCATTAAGTTGGTACCCAGTACTGTGCACGCTGGTATTTCACTGAAACAACGTAAGGGGCTTAAATTCAAAACAGTGAAATTATCAAAGTGGTAATTTCACTGTTTCAAACAGTGAAATTACCAGTTTTATTTCACCGATATATTTCTATAAACCACCGAAAAGCATGTAATAAATGAAATTATTTTCACAAATGATGTATAACAGAAATATATTACTCGGTCCTAACTAGCATCAGTGCTCTGGCTTAAATATGTCTAAGTTGTAAGCTTGCTTGGAATAAGAATATAGTGTGAAACAGACTTGCGTATATATGCAAAGCATATGTAGCTTGAATATCGACCAGACAAACATCTCTGTTTGTACGTAGTCCAAGTTCTAATGATAATCAAAATTCAATTAGATGACTTGTGAACTGTTGTTTAGTCAATACATTTCTACAAATTAATACCAAATATGCCAATTTTTTTTTTTTACAAAAGTATACATTATTTCCGTGTAACCAAGTACATATTTTTGTTTGCATCTGTGTATATGTTTATACTAAAAGAGGAAATGAAATAAAAGGTTCACTAATTTTTGTTCGTTGTGAAAGGATAGAACTAGGAAAATTATTTCATCTTTTTAACATTACTCTGGGATTATATATAGCGTATATTTATCAAAATTATGTTAAACATTGAAACACCATGCACGTTGAACCAGTTGCCAATTAGAGACAATTAAGACATAGTCTTAATGTTGTTATTTTTGGACTATTATAACATGAATTTACAATCTGTTAGAGCGGTGAACATTTTATATTATAGAAAATAGAAACACAAATTTAAGACAGCAACAACTACTAAAGTCAACACACCGCTATATTCTGGTAACAATTGTGATTGATATAGAACCTTAAAATCGTGCATTTTGATTAAAAAAAAGGAAATAGCCAAATATATCTGTTGTTAGTCAAAGCTATAAAGATGTGTTTATTTGTTTGTTTGTTTGATTAGGTTTTACGTCACACCGACAGAAAGATGTGTTTACACATGATAAAAACACTATAATTGTAAATAAAGACAATGCAATAGAAAATGAATTAATGGTACTTAATAGCATAATAATGATATAATGTCATTAGACAATCACTTTTTCCGATAATAGACTTAAACTTCCATATTACATACTGAATATTTGAAAATAAGTTGTGTATATGGTATACACTAGGAACACCTATCTATCCATATTTTACCACTTATGATACTGAATAAAATTTAATATGAAGTGTTTATACATTCCACCAGGATTTACCCATTCCTACAACATGTTCAGTTTGTGACATTTGACCACAACAAGACAATCAAAATTGTTTGAATAATATCTCTTCACTCTCCTCTCTCTCCATTTGTTTCTTGAATCAAAATGTAGATTATAGACAATGATGATTGTTTTAAGCATGGTTTTTAATTCATGTTTACATTACTTAATCATTCACTGCAACATATTTAAACACAGCCGCAAGGAGCAAAATCAAAAGAAGCAGAATGCGTACATGAGAATTTTTACAACATCAATAAGCCAGTGTATTTGATCTAGATCTTGTGACTGATCTTGATTTTTGAGCAATGGACGATAACCTTGCTGGCAGCAATCGTCTAAAAAACTATCGAGGACAGATCAAGTCCATTTAAAACCAAACTAACAAGCGAAATTGCTGACCAACAACTGATCACAGTATCAGCTACATTGGTTATTCTGCATTTTATATGATTCGGGGTTATCTCAATTGTTTACGAATTTCATCATAAGTAGATATTGCTTTAATCGTGAATCACTGATAAAAATATTCATATCTGTATTCAGGCATTTTTCTCACTTTAAACAACATGCAAAAAAAATCGTTAAAAAAAACAACACAAAAATAACGAAACGACATTCATTCTCGATTTTAGATATTTTGTAGAATTTGTAAAACTGTTAGAAACTTTTTGCAATACTTAGATATAAATTATTATTACAAGACTCAGTTTCCATAATATTAAATTTTCCGTTTATGTGACAGTATTTTGGATGCTCTGTAACTGTATTATGTCTTGATTATACGGAGTTTACTGACTTGGGCGTCGGCGTCTATATTTCCGGTTATTATTAAGCATTAAAGTTTTAACTTCTAAACAAATTTACTTCAAACTTCAAATATCATCACCCGCATCATATTTAATGAGATTCATCAGTGTTTTAATTTTGATTATTATCTAACAAATAAATGTACCTTAACATCACCATCATTCACATTATGAACTCGTTTCAGCAGTTTTAATTATTTCCCCCTTTCAGTAATAGTTTTACTTAAATTATATTTAAAAATATAAATTTAACCATTATATTTTCTGACTAGCGTTAAACATTTTTATGAAACATGTTCAAATTGTCTGAATAACCCTTTAGTCTTTTTTTCTGATTTGGTACGAAAGACCTCATCTCATAAAACATACCAAAAGACAGCTGTCAGTAGATTAACATAAACGTTTGCGTTTACGAGAACTTTTACAGCGATATTTGACATGTGTGTCTAATTTTTGCTTATTTTTTTACATTAATCTTAGACCTACGTGCCTTGAACGATCTATCGTCAATTGTCTTTAAGCTTTTGGGTTGTATATTAAATTTTGTATTATATTACTTACATATTGGTGCCTCGAACGAGATGGTTTCTCTTCCTGAAATCACAGATGAAATGAATCTTAAATTTTGTGGTCACACAAATCACAGATCGTTTTTTCTCGCTTCATTCGTGCTGTTACATTTAGAAAAAAAGATGCAAAAATGTACAGACTCGTTATTTGTCTTAGACCAAATAACTGGAGAGAGTTGAAAAGTGATTTAGATGACGTCCTCAGATACGAGAAATTTTATAGCGATATTTAACTTGCGTGTCTATGTTTTGCCTAGCTTGTTTCTTTCATTGATCTCTTTAATACAATCATGGAAAGATGTTTCGTCTACTGTCTCAATATTTGGTACCTTAGCTGCAGATTTTGAGATACTTTATATTACTTACACATTGGCTCCTCGATTCTGAACGAGATGGTTCCTCATCCTGAAAACACAGATGAAATAAATCCTAAAAAATTGTTAAAAGTGAAAACCTAGAACGATGTGGTCACACAAATCACAGATCATGTTTTTCTTTTCTTCACATTTATGCTGTTACATATTGAAGAAAAGATGTAAAAATGAACTTGTCAATGGATTGTAAGATAGTACAAAAAGGAATTAAGTCACTTCTGTATCCCCCAATCAATGCTAAGAAGAGGTTAAAGATGGAACTGTTAACACATAATACAAACACTATCATTGTATAACAACAATATTAAATGGAAATGAAACAATAGTACTTTAATATTAAAAAACATCTACTGGAAATAATGTTATTCCATTATTATCCCCCGCCGAAAAGGCGGCGGGGGATATAGTAATAGTCTCCGTCCGTCCGTCCGTCCGTCCGCACTCACAGGACAGTAATTATGTGGCTAGAGGGACAATTGGTAACTGTTCTTTCTCTTTGATGTCATTCATTCCGTAATGCTTTTATGTGGCTATTTTCTTTTGTGTGGCTAAAAAGAACAATAGGGAGAACAATAGAGTAGCCACATTATTACTCTCCTGTTAGAACTTCCGTCCGACCTTCCGTCCTTCCGTCTGTCCTTCCGTCCGACATTTTTGTCCGGAGCATATCTCTAAATGTATTTGAGTTATCAACTTGAAACTTCATAGGTGGATAGACCTCATTGAGGAGGAGTACAGTGCATAAGAATGATAACTCTACCCTGCATAATTTTTGAGTTATTGCCCTTTGTTATTTTTCAAAATTGATGTTTGTCCAGAGCATAACTCAAAAAGCCTATGAGATATCAACATGAAACTTCATAGGTACATAGATCTCACTCAGGAGGTGTGCAGTGCACAAGAATGATAACTCTACATTTCATAATTTTTGAGTTATTGCCCTTTGTTATTTTTCATACTTAATTTTCACCTGAGTGGAGCATAACTCAAAAAGTGTTTGAGATATCAACATGAAATGTCATAGGTGGATAGATCTTATTGAGGAGGAATGCTGTGCGCAAGAATGATAACTCTTCCCTGTACATTTTTTGAGTTATTGCCCTTTGTTCTTTTTCATGCTATTTTGTCCTGAGCTTATCTCAAAAAGTATTTGAGGTATCAACTTGAAACTTCATAGCTGGATGGATCTCATTGAGGAGGAGTGCAGTGCACAAGAATGATAACTCTACCCTGCATAATTTTTTAGTTATTGCCCTTTGTTATTTTTCAAAATTGATTTTTGTCCAGAGCATAACTCAAAAAGCCTATGAGATATCAACATGAAACTTCATAGGTGCATAGATCTCACTCAGGAGGTGTGCAGTGCACAAGAATAATAACTCTACCTTTCATAATTTTTGAGTTATTGCCCTTTATTATTTTTCATACTTAGTTTTTCACCTGAGTGGAGCATAACTCAAAAAGTGTTTGAGATATCAACATGAAATGTCATAGGTGGATAGATCTTATTGAGGAGGAATGCTGTGCGCAAGAATGATAACTCTTCCCTATACAATTTTTGAGTTATTGCCCTTTGTTCTTTTTCATGCTATTTTGTCCTGAGCTTATCTCAAAAAGTATTTGAGGTATCAACTTGAAACTTCATAGCTGGATGGATCTCATTGAGGAGGAGTGCAGTGCACAAGAATGATAACTCTACCCTGCATATTTTTTTAGTTATTGCCCATTGTTATTTTTCAAAATTAATTTTTGTCCAGAGCATAACTCAAAAAGCCTTTGTGATATCAACATGAAACTTCATAGGTGCATAGATCTCACTCAGGAGGTGTGCAGTGCACAAGAATGATAACTCTACCTTTCATAATTTTTGAGTTATTGCCCTTTGTTATTTTTCATACCTAATTTTTCACCCGAGTGGAGCATAACTCAAAAGTGTTTGTGATGTCAACATTAAATGTAATAGGTGGATAGATATTATTAAGGAGGAATGCTGTGCGCAAGAATGATAACTCTTCCCTATACAATTTTTGAGTTATTCCTCTTTGTTCTTTTTCATAATATTTTGTCCGGAGCTTATCTCAAAAAGTATTTGAGGTATTAACTTGAAACTTCATAGCTGGATGGATCTCATTGAGGAGGAGTGCAGTGCTCACGAACGATAACTCTACCCTGCATAATTGTTTAGTTATTGCCCTTTGTTATTTTTCAAAATTAATTTTTGTCCAGAGCATAACTCAAAAGGCCTTTGAGATATCAATATGAAACTTCATAGGTGCATAGATCTAACTCAGGAGGTTTGCAGTGCACAAGAATGATAACTCTACCTTATATAATTTTTGAGTTATTGCCCTTTGTTATTTTTCATACTTAATTTTTCAATTCAATTTTTTTCTTAAAAGTATTTGAGGTATCAACTTGAAACTTCATAGGTGGATAGATTTTACTGAGGAGGGATGCAGCACACAAGAATGATAACCCACCCTGCATTATTTTTCAGTAATTGCCCTTTGTTATTTTCAGCCATCAGTATTCACATAGGTTTCAAATCTGTAATCACTATAGCCATCAGTTTTCATTACCAAAAGACCTTAAAATGGAGTTATTCTGCTCTACTACATATACATTCTTCCAATGAGCAAACACATTCGGCAGGGGATGGCCATGTTGACATGGCTCTTGTATAACTTACTATTCTTTCCAAATAAAGATTTTAATTTCCATAAAATGCACTGTATATTTGAAAATAAGTTGTGTAAAACATCTACACAAGTTTGATTTGATAAAGTCGTTTATAATAATTTACGTTTTGTTTAACTGAATATCTTTATTACGAGAAGTTGGTATCAACAACATTTTTTTCCACAGGATTTATACATTCCAGATAAACATACAAAAGTACAGATTCGTAACTATGTGTCACATTTGTAGTATGACATTTTCACAAATTATCATAGACGCCATACTTCTAAGTTAACAACTAAGTCTAACAGCAGAACTGGTGAAATTGTTCGTCGATTGTGCCAAATATTGTTAAATCTAAGCAACCAGTTTGAATCAAAGTCGAACTATAATAAGTACGTTTTAACTACCATATTCTATAATTAATATGCAAGTAATATTATTTATCCATTTGTATCAAAAGAAATTATTAATTTCAAGTAATTTTAATTGTTCTCGAATTTTTGTGAAATAGAATTGCCTTAATCATGAATCACCGATGAAATATTCATATATGAATCATATATTTTCTATTCATGCATTTTATCTCACATTAAACTACATTTAAATAAAAATATCGCTTTAAATAACAAAACTAACCAAATGACATTCATTTTCATTTTCAGATATCTTGTAGAATTTGTTGAACTTAAAAAAACAAACTTTTGTAATACTAAGATAAACATTATCATTTCGTAACTCAGTTTACATATTAGTGAATTTACTTTTTATGTGATTATCTGTAAGGTTTTATTGCTGTTTCTTGCATAGCAGACTGGCGTTTCCGTGTGTTTTACCCATGCCGGAAATTTCATCTGGCATGGGGGTGCCAGATGAGTCGCGTGCTGTACAATGACACGCTTAAGATGACGTCATTTTACCGTTATGAATGAAGTTGCAATTTCATACGCTGTTGTAAGAAAATAGTTACCGCTGTAATGATATTAATTTCCCTTGAAAACAAAGATACAGAATTTAAAATATAATGGAATATTGTAGAATATGCAAGAAAAAATACCTGGCATATGTTATTATCCGTTTTAAAATTTCAATACTATTTGTTAAGATGCTATGTAACAATATTATATATTGACTATACGGAGTTCATTCATGTGGACGTCGGCGTTCAGATTTTCGATTATTTAACATAAAATTTTAAACCTTTAAACAAATTAACTTCAAAATTGAAATATCATCATCGCCCACATCATATATAGTGAGATTCATAAGTATCCATATTTTGAGAATTATCTTCTCTTATCTTGCTATTATTTGTTACTATACTTTTTCATTTCTATATTACAAATTCCATAAAAATGCAAATATATGTACCTCATGTAACATCATCATCATTATGTACCTGTGCCAGGAGTTTTAAGAACCTTTCGCCTTCAAAGTAAGAAATATTCTTAGAATATATCTAAAATTATTAATTTAACACGAATGTCTTTTGACAAGAAATGTAACAAGAGTGTTATAACTCTCAATAAGCTTGTTTCTTACATAAAATCCTGGAACGAGATATCGTCAATTGTCTCATAATTTGATACCTCAATTGAAGATTTTGAGAAGCATCTTTAGAAAGATATTTCATATTACTTACTTTGGTTTTTATCCTAGCTGAACGAGATTTTTTCGAGTTCTGAAAACACAGATATAATAAATCTTAAAATATTGTTAAAATTAAAGATCTAGTACGATGTGGTCACACAAATCATAGATCATGTTTCATATCTGAATATTTTTTGTGTGTTTCATTTATGCTGTAACATGTTGAAAAGAAGATGTTAAAATATACTTGCTAATGTAAAAATATAGGTAACTTCTGTATCAACCGATCAAAACTATAAGAAGAGGTTAAAAGTGGAACTGTTTACATAAAATACAAACACTAGCATTGTATATGAACGAAATAAAAAAGAAAATGAAATAATAGTACTTCAATATCAATAACATCTACTTGAAGTAATGTTATGTCATAAACCAAAATGGCCTTCTATATTTTACAATGTATATTTTAAAACAAGTTGTGTCTGATATACACAAGTTTGATTTAATAATGTCGTTTCAATTTGATATTTGGAATATCCTTCTACCAATAATTTACGATTTATTTACTGGATCATTTGATAATGAGATGTTGATATGAAATTTATTTTCATTCAGGATTTCGTAACTGTATTATATCTCGAATATACGAAGTTTACTCACTGGTTCGTCAGCGATAAGATTGCCGATTACTTAAAATTTTTAACTTGTAAAAAAGATTAACTTCGAACTTCAGATACCATCACCTGCATCATATATAATGAGATTCATTATTTTTAGAATTATCTTTCCTTTGAAAATAGAACTTTTAATATCTGGTTGTTGTTTTATTCACTTTACTTGAGACATTTCCATAAAAAACGTATACGAGAACTTATACGTACAGTGATATTTGACTTACGTGTCAAATGTTTGCTTTTGCAAATTTCTGTCATTGTTCTTAGAACAACAATCCGGATCGAACTATCGCATATTGTTTCATTATTTGTTACCTTCATTGAAGCTTTTGGGATGCATCGTTAGAAAAATTATTTATTACTTACAGAGTTAAACGTCGAACGACGATATGGTATCTCCTCCTGAAAACACAGATGAAATAAATATTTAAATCTTGTTAAATGTGAAGACCTAGTACGAAGTGGTCACATAAATCACAGGTCATGTTTCATATTTGAGATGTTTAGTTCAGTTTCATTTATAATCTTTCATGTTGAAAACAAAAGCCGGTTGCACCGGGTGATGCTCCCCGAATAGAGTTTGGACACAGGAAGGTATATCTCTTGTACTGTCAGATTTATGTCAAGGACAAAGTTCAAAGTGTAAAAACAACCAAAATATTGCGCGCAACACGTCGTCTCAATATGGTTATCATTTCTGTGAAATTGTTGTAAAATCAGACTTTAAATAACGAAGTTATGGGCTGAACACGATTTTGCTTTAAGGTCATGCTGTGACATTGACCTTCAAGGTTTCGCGCGACTCGTCGTAAAAACAACCAAAATATTGCGCGCAACACGTCGTCTCAATATGGTAATAATTTCTGTGAAATTATTGTAAAATCCGACTTCAAATAATGAAGTTATGGGCCGGACACGACATTGCTGCAAGGTCATGCTGTGACCTTGACCTTGAAGGCAGCGACCCAAATGTTTCGCGCGACACGTCGTCTCAATATCGTGCTCATTTCAGTGAAATAGTTGTAAAATCCGTCTTCAAATAACGAAGTTAGGGGCATGACACGATTTTGCTGCAAGGTTATGCTGTGACCTTGACCTTCAAGGTAGCGACTCAAATGTTGCGCGCGACACGTCGTATCAATATGTAGATCATTTCTATGAAATAGTTGTAAAACCCGACTTCAAATAACGAAGTTATTGGCCGGACACGAATTCGGGATATACGTTCGTACTTACGTACGGACGGACTGACTGACAGAGCTATTAATTTTGTGTTTACTAATTTTTTGTTCATGAACCCGATGTTTTGCATAATTGTCTATACTGCACTGGTTTTAAGCGTTTTGCTTATCTCGATTTGATAAAATTGAAGCTGTTAAAATGCAACTTAGATAAATTGCAAACAGTATTTAGAAATTATTAACTTTAAATTTGCGACATGTAGACATGTAAACGAAAGAACGTACACAACACGTTTTATTCCGTGCATAATGACGTTGAGAATGTAACTGCATCAGTTAACGCTCTCGGATTGACAACACAACACTTTCCGTTTACAATCATTTGAAAAACGATTTTGCAACTTCCTATTTATGGCATTATCACGGAAATAGACGAACATTCGAGAAAAGCAACTCTTATTGTACAAAAATAATGAATACAAAAATATACTTCACATACATCAACTGCATTACGGTTGACTTTGAATATCCTCCGATTTTGTTAAATCGTATTCTAGCACAATATATTCAAGTAATGCAAAATTGGATTAAATATAATATTATAATATAACAATGTTTATACTGATAATGAAAACTAAAGTTGTTGAATTAACATAAGGGAATGTTTCCCACTCCTGTTGCTAAATTAGATTTTTCTGTGCCTTCATGAACTGATAAAGTATTTTTTACATTCAGTAATCAGTATTAGAATGCGATACATGGACTTCATTTTTGGCAACATGAATAAAGAGAACTGAACAGTAAGTTTGCGCCTTTTTTCCTTAAAGGACTAAACTGGGTGGTTGAAACCAAATTTTTGACTAAGTGTATAACCACGGACCTTTTGAAAGTTTACTATCGATAATTCCGTTCTATAACCAAAAACTTGTGAATTTGTCTAATTTTAATGTTGAAATAAATATTCAGTGTATCCTAGCATCTCTGTTTACCTCCATTGGGAGATATTTTGAGTCATAGCTTTTATTATCAAACATATGTAAGCTGACGTTGGTTAAGGTCTTCAGCGAACCCTTTTTTGCATTTTACTAAATTAGTGACAGCTCTTAAATCTGTGTATACATACTTTCAATAGCTGTTACTGAGACTTGCTTAGAAACAGACATTTTATAAAGTTTTGTAAGTGATGGCTACCTTAGAGATAAAATAAACAAGGTATACATAAATTGATAATCAACATACATACCTTTGGACTCATTTGAATATTATTCTTGAAAAAAGGGTAAAAATAGGAAAATATATCTATACACTATGTTTAAATAAAAAGCTATGTACGAAAGGGTACATACAACTTTGGTTTTAATATTGTTAAAAGTTTTTTTCTTGTCAAGTCATACGCTAGAAGTAAGATTACTAAAATAGTTATAGTAAATGCTACTTCTGGTAAAGACAACAGCCAGAAATTGGTCTGTATTAGTATTTGGTCGTAGCAAAATCTCTATTAAAAGTTGACTTGAAAATTTGAAGTTGGTAAGGTAGCAGCTTAACTTTCAATGTTACTCATTCCTATGCAAATTGGAATCCCCTCAGTAAAATTTATTTGTGTTTAAAAAAAGCATGTTCAATAAACATGTAGTCTTATCAATAATTTTTACTTCCATAAAAATGTGTAACCCTCAAACAACCCAATTAAAATTAGATTAACCTGGTAAGTTATTTTTTATATAATCATTTAAAAAAAAGTCCGCTGATGTTGATTGAATAAAGGCATAGAATGGCAATCATGCAAGTGAATTATTTTTGGTGAGTAGCTAAAGGTGTGGTAAACGGAAACTACGCCGGTGCGTGTTCTTGTTACCTTGTTTTCTTGTGACCAGAAACAGAAACTTTCGTTCTTTTGAAATAGGGATGGTCTTAATAGAGGGTAGTCTTAAGTAGGGATTGTACTGAAATTAAAACATTGATATGAACAAACGTTTTATTTCAGACACTAAATATAAAGAACCATGTTAATTACAATATTTCACTATTGGTAGAACTATATCATTTATTATATGCTACGGAAAAAATAATCAACTCGTATTTGTTTGAAGATAGAAAATGACTGAAGCCATGAAACATCATTAGAATTTGGTTGACTTCCCTTTCAAAGCAATTCAAGAAGCGAAGGTATGTCATATAACCTACCATGATGTTGCTTGGATTTTGGGTTTTGACTGATTCCACATTCTGCAAAACACACAAACGATAAATGCTATACTTTTGTTAAATACAAAACAAGTATTATATAGTCACACAAACCTCTGAAAATATTTGATTATGATGTGATTAAATCTTAAAAGATACAGAAAAAGTCAAAGTAATATGTATAAATGGTTTGATGTTTTGTATGAAGGTAGAACAAGGTAAAGTAATCTAGTTTTTTTATACTTTTTAATTTCATATCAAGCCATACGATTGCAAATGTCTACATTCAATATTTGACTAATTGAAATATAATTAAGAAGAGGGCCATAATAGGCAAGATCTGTAAATGAAAAATAATTCTTTTAGATATATAGAGGATTTTTAATAAGCGTAGGTTTAATACTGAATTTATTGAACGAGTTGAATAAAATCATATTATGGAAACCTCTGGCAGGCATAATATAGTTTCACTTAACGAGTTCAATGAATTTAGTATTGAATCAACACGAATATAATATTTAATTACCCCTCACTTTTTTCGTTATGTTAATTTCCCATAGGCCTCTGGGAGTTATTCTTACTGTTAATACAAGTGTACCCTGTGCTTAAGAATGTTGTACTGTTACATAGGTACACTTAAAACTTGCAAGGTAAGGACAGTTTAGTTATTGCTACTCTTGGTTTATTTTTGTTACAGTAAGATTTAGTTACAAATTCAGATCATCACAGTATTTGTTGGTGTAATAAAGTAAATTACACATAGGTTTGTGGGTAACAGTAAAAATATCATCCATCGTAAAAATACTGTTACCCGAGGCGTAGCCAGATATAATTGGGGAAAGTCAGACTTATGGCAAATATGTGTGACTCTGAACTCACAGATCTTAGGTCAAGCCAGGCTTGGACAATTTCCTTGAATCTACAAATGAACCCAGTATTGGTAAGTCCAGGATACGGACTACAGAGTAAGTAAAAAATTAAAACGTTTACCAAACTGGAGCTGACCTAAACAATTTTAACAAACAAATAATATCATGTAGTTTATATAACGTTGAAATGTAAAGTAGTTTTTCTTGTTTACGTCTTTGTATCCGAGAAATTCATTGCTATACAGGGTCATTTATATATAGCTTCAATCGCTATTATCAC